CTCAATGGTGGGAGTATGCAATTTTTCTTTGTTCTGCATGGAATTGCAGTAAAACTAGTAGCAGTTAGAATCTCATGCTTCTCCTCAAAGGTTTTCTATGAATAATATCAACAGACCGACTGCCTCGCAGCCGCGCGCGTCGCAGATATGATTGACTTACATCAAAAGAACAACTAAAAAAACATCCAATCGCTTATCGCTGCGAAGTTATAAAGCACCGATGAAGCCTTCTGCCTATGTGGCTTTAGGTAGGTCGCTAGTTATAGGGCGTTGAACATCTGACTCTCTGAAGAAAGCCTATGGACGTGACCAGGCTTGAGTTGGTTCAAATTTCCTTCGAATGCGCCACGAATTGATCTTTTTTGCGGAAATGTAAACGAAGGTAATATTATAGAATTAAGCACGAAACTACTTTCTGTTCGGTCGTTCGACACGGATGGCCGTAGAGATGTTGGAACAACAGGCGAAGTTCGCGATTCAGATAGGAGAACCTTCTGCACGCCTTCTGAGCCTCAATGTTCCCCGGCTGTCTTTCAAGTGTTCGATGGTATTCCGCCAAAGAGATGACCGCAGTAGTAGCGCGTATAGTTCCAGTGTTGGTTCGAAAGGATTTGATTGGAATTAAATCCTCCGAGATTGTTTAAACTTCGATTTTTTCTCATTTCGTTTTCTGAATCCACTAGAACTGGGCTAGAACTGACCCAGTCAAAGGTGGAGGCCTACACTGGCAGGTCGGACGAATGTCTTCTTGCTCTCCTACTTCGGCCATGGAACGGCTACATATAGTGATGGCTTGGGGATTGTTGAACTATTCTAATCAGCTAACTTATTTGACAGCTTTTCTCTACAGAGGTCATTCCAACGTACCTGGCAGGAAATTTTAGACATCTCATAGGTCTATCACCTATTTTTAAGTGATTCAAAGAATATGGATAACCATACGGGCTCCATGACTGTACTGCCAATCTCCCTTGTCAAGTCGCGGATACCTTCGTAAGTGTACTACGAACGATGGCTCTGTTCTACGACGAAGAACACAACAAATTTCAGATAATCCAATCCTATCACACAGGAAACAACTCGTCCAAAACAACTATGTACGAATGTGCTTGCCCGATAGAGTATCGCTTTGATTGCCATACTCATTTCAGAGTTTAGGCTTTCTTGAAAGGCCTTTTCCATTCGAAACTCAGTTTTATCTCAAACAAAAAAGTTAAAATTCCTGCTAAAGTTAATTTTTGTTACAAAATTCCCTCTCACATGAGTGGATTTTAAGAGAGATAGGCTAGTCATCTCTTCTGTTGGCCCAGAGGTTTCTTCTCTTTTAGTATAGCGGAGCTCCTCGACTTTGCAAATATGTCAGGTCATTCATCGTACTTGGGATGCGAACGTCCAAAAATCACGCTGAACTCATCCCTACTAGTACGGGTTCCGTCCAGGGCAATTAATCAGAGGCCAAGGCTTTTGTCCCTGGGAATCGCGGGTGAAATGTTCGCTTGGGACGCGTTGGTCTCAAGTGTTTGCCGATTTTCATAAAACAGCTGGCAGAGCACTGTGGTGGGCACGCGAACATAAGTGCTGGCCACACCGGGTAGGGTCATGTGACAGCAATTACTACTATTACCATATCCATAGGGTAATGGCAAAGCCTGATCAATCCTTTCCATGGGAAGGATGGTTATGCTGAAAACAACAATAATAAACGGATAAATAAATAAGTTCATAAATAAATAACTCAAGAAATGCCCACATGTCAAACCGCATTACCGATATTAAATGACGGAACTTGAAGAAGTGAAGCGTCCGTTTCACAGGGTACCCCCCCCCCCC